TCTTCCTTGCCAAATTGATTTTAAGAGTATTACTCTGTGGGATAGAACAGAATGGTATCATTATACTTATAACATGACGTTTACCACTGCTCTAGACTCTGCATTTAAAATAAAGCCTCGATGATGATGGCATAGAAATGCAGATCAGCGTTAATTTTATGAAAATGCGGGTGCTGGAAATGGTTCCATCGTAAAAGTGTAAGGAAGACCGATATTCCGGTAGTTACGAACATTATTTTCTTTTTTCTTCCTTTCGGAAGATCGTTGTTTTTTTCTTGTGATGTCTCCAAAATATGGTGTTTAATTTTTTCTACTCCTGCAGAGAGAGTCAGAGGTAATCGTTTTTTAAGACCCAGTCAGCATTGATTTTGGGGACTTGCCAGGAATTTTTGCCTGCTTTCGTTTATCAGGCTGAGAGCTATCAAATCTCTGACTTTTTCTGTAGCTGGTTACAAGTAAGAAATTAAGGACTTCGATGACATGCCTAAAGTGGACTGAAGCGTTCGATATGTCAACGAAACGTTCTACTCCAGTATGTGACATGGCAGTGCACGATGCCGTATAAAGTAGTTCATCAGAAGTACCTAATGAAGTTCATAGAATATGTTGAGCGTGGGTACAATTTTGCTGTTCGCTGTCAGTGTTCTAACTTTTACAACTTTAACTTGTCACAGGCCGATTCTGAGATTTGGCATACTTCAGCTCTGAGAGGTCTCTAACTTTCTGATATTTGGCCAGATTATGCTATGTCGTGCAAAGCAAATCAACCTGTGCTGAAAATATGGCAAAATATCAGTTGCATGAAAATTTGGTTATGAGATTATTTTGTACTGGGAGAGGGGGTATTAAGTGTGCAGCTGATCACGGTGGTAGCGTTAACTTTTCTATTGTTTGCTCTAATAACGAAAAAATTTTCTATTCAACTTTCAAATAGACCTACATCATCTACAGGATTCACTATAATATTTTGAGGCATGCACGTTTCTATGTTATGTTTAATATTTGTATTTGTTTTTAAGGCCGATAGGTTTTCTTCGGAATTTCAGATTAACCAGATTTATTGTGCTTCGTTTACCGATGCATTTATTCGGTTTTCTGTTATGTAACTGTATCTGATATATTGCTTTTGTTTTAATACCTGCGGCATTTATTTTGCTAAAGACGCGAGCATGCGTGCTTTAGGTTTCTGATTTGTTTGGCGTACAAAGATCGCTCGGTGACGTTTCATTCTTCCGTGACCGGCACCCTGTTGTCTCCCGCGCTTCTTCTTGACAGTGCAGCATCATCTATTACCGTAAAGGACGCGTACGTAATGGTCATTGAGACCTCGGGTGGCCTGAGGGTGTGGTAATCGTTCTCCTACTTATTTTGTTTATTCCGTTCTTGACTATTTTTTCAGGAGTTTTGCCGATACCTTCAAACTGCACTGTAATACCTCAGTTTTGCCCCTTTTGAAAAGTAATTCGGATTTTTAAATTTAAACTTATGACAACGAGGAGCAAAAAACGTGACTTTATGTATTTCAGTGCAGAATATTGATTTATCTGCTGATGAACCACTGCCACCGTTTCAGTTTTTGTCTAAAGTATCTTCTTCAGTGCAGGATGGCTGGTTCTTACTGGTTGCGGCTGTTTTATCTATAGCAGATGTAAGAATCCGGATCATAAGACAGGCTTCAGATCCACTGTGCGGCTTTGCTAGTTTGTTCATGATGTATGTTACGACACCATTTCAATTCATATTGAGATCATATGATTAATGCTGACAATTTCCCATTTCAGTTGATGTCTTTTTCCTTTGCTGATGGTTGTATCATATCTTGATTATCGGACGGCTCC